CAAAAACCAAACACAGTACAGTAACAGTATCTCAAATGTGTCTTCGGGTGTTTTTCCTTTCAAGGTCCTGAGGATACGAGCAGACAACAGCGTGCACCTGCAGACCACATTAGACATTTTACAAGTACGTACACACACACACACACACACACACACGCACGCACGCACGCACGCACGCACGCACGCACGCACGCGCGCACACACACACACACACACACACACACACACACACACACACACACACACACACACACACACACACACACACACAGACACAGACACACTCACACACACACACACTTGGACCCCTGAACTCTCTCACACTGTGGTGGCAGTCGTAGCATGAAGGCATGAATTTCAGCAGCAACAGTGGGACATTTGAAGATGGAGTTACATTCCTCCGTCACCCTCTGATGATTTTCCTCCGATGGGAATAAAGAAATATATATATATATTTGATTATGTACAAGTTTTTTTATTCAACCGTCGCCTCACCTTAAAAACCCTTTGTCCTTTTGCAGCGAGGCCAAGAGAACTGGCATTTAAATGTCAATGACTCACATTCTGCAAAAATAAACAGGAATCTGAATCATTTGAAATAAAATACATTGCATTTATTCAACACTAAAGGACCTTTGGTTTGCAGACAGCAGAGGTGGAAGAAGTACTCTGATGTTATACTAAGTAAGAGAGGCAATACTTGGTGTACATATTCATATATATACATGGCTGATGCAGACTTTGTAATTGTAGAGCCTTTTGTAGTGTTTTTGTGGTCATTTCTGCACAATTGGTGTCTCTTTGTGATTGATTTGTGTAGTTTGGTGGTCTTTTTGTGTCTCGTTGGGGTCATATTCTGTCTCTTATGGATCTATTTTGTCTCTTTGTGGTCGAGTTCTGTGTCTTTGTAGTAGATTTGTGTTATATTATTGCCATTCTGTATATTTTTGTGGTACTTTTGTGTGTCTTTGTGATCATTTGGGGTTTTTTGTGGTCATTTTATGAGTTTTTGTGGTCATTTTGTGTCTCGTCGGGGTCATATTCTGTCTCTTATGGATCTATTTTGTCTCTTTGTGGTCCTTTAGTGTCTCTTTGGGGTCTATTTCTGTGTCTTTGTAGTGGATTTGTGTTATATTAATGCCATTCTGTGTATGTTTGTGGTACTTTTGTGTCTCTGTTGTCATTTCGTGTCTCGTTGGGGTCATATTCAGTCTCTTGTTGATCCATTTTGTCTCTTTGGGGTCATTTTCTGTCTCTTTGTGGTCGAGTTCTGTGTCTTTGTAGTAGATTTGTGTTATATTAATGCCATTCTGTGTATTTTTGTGGTACTTTTGTGTCTCTTTGTGATCATTTTGTGTCTCTACATGTTCAAATTGTGTGTCTTTGAGATCATTTGGGGTTTTTTGTGGTCATTTTATGCATTTTTGTGGTCATTTTGTGTCTCTCTGTTGTCATTTCGTGTCTCGTTGGGGTCATATTCTGTCTCTTATGGATCTATTTTGTCTCTTTGGGGTCTAGTTCTGGGTCTTTGTACTAGATTTGTGTTATATTAATGCCATTCTGTGTATTTTTGTGGTACTTTTGTGTTTCTACATGGTCACATTTTTTTGTGTCTTTTGTGATTGATTTGTTTCTTTTACTGGTTGATTTGAATCTTTCTGTGGTCCCTTTGCTTTAGAAAGATATTATAAATCATTCATTCATTTTATTTTGTATTATAAAGTAACATTTACCTCAGAGAGAAGAAGAAGAAGAATATATAATTGTATTGATAATGCTAACTATTGGTGAATTTAGCAGAAATCCAGACACAAATTTGATTCATACATCTTAAAATACAATTACCTCCTGTAAAGTATGTGTGTAAAGCAACAAGTGTCAGCGGAGGCTTCACTTTCTATTCTCGTCTTTTACTATCGATACGATAAAATTCAAACATGGCAAACTGTGTCGTTTTGCAGAATGAAACCCCGGCTCCACGAATCCTCGCAGAGAGGTGAGACCTGTGAGCTTCTTCACGCACTAATAACCCTCACCAGCTGACCACATTCCACAGCTGTGTGGCTCAAGGTCCACACACACACACACACACACACACACACACACACACACACACACACACACACACACACACACACACACACACACACACACACACACACACACACACACACACACACACACACTCAGTCGGGAGCACCTCCAGAAAATACTTCAGGGGATTCAGTTTGAGTCTGACCCACTGTGTTTCCACTGTATGAAAAAGGCTCAGAGGTTCGTTGAGATTATGAACGTATGTTTTTTTTTAAAGACACGTGATCACCTTCATCTCAAACCTGTGGGATGCATTTCTATTATTTTTAATTAGAGGGATTTCCTTTCTGCAGGACTCTGATTTTACACTTCAATATGTCTACTATTTCTATATTAAGTTCCTTTATCTGAATCAGAATACCTTTATTCGTCCCGCAGAGGGGAAATGTACATTTGTTACAGCAGGTAAAGAGCCAAAGAAAGCTTAATATCACTCAAAAAGCATGCATAACAAGAAATTACACAATTTACAAAATACACATCGAGTACAGCCATTGAAAGTATAAAAGGTGGTATTATAAATTGCACAGCTATATATGTATTGCACAATATGTAAAAAATGTATATATTACAACATACAGAGGCGTAAAAGTATTGATGAATTTATTACTATAAAAAAACTGATAATTGCTCGAAACGTGCAATGCAGTAATAATGCTAAGTGATATGATGAGTATGCACAGTTGAATAATTGTATAGGTTAGTACTAGTACTTAGTTAAAGGATCTGAGCACTTCCTCCACCACTGTCTGTTTTCTATCAACCACTACGTAGTTCAAGTGTCCGCCGGCTGACGTGTCCTTGAGCAAACACTAGATCCAGATGTTCTTTGTTGTCATTTTGTGTCATTTTGTGTCATTTTGTGTCTCTTTGTAGTCATTTTGTGTCATTTTGTGTCATTTTGTGTCTTTTAATGTCACTTTGTTGTCATATTGTTGTCATTTTGTGTATTTTTGTGTCTCTTTGTAGTCATTTTGTGTCATTTTGTGTCATTTTGTGTCACTTTGTAGTCATTTTGTGTCATTTTGTGTCACTTTGTAGTCATTTTGTGTCATTTTGTGTCTTTTTGTTTTCATTTTTATGTCATTTTGTGTCTTTATGTGTCTCTTTGTAGTCATTTTGTGTCATTTTGTGTCATTTTGTGTCACTTTGTAGTCATTTTGTGTCATTTTGTGTCATTTTGTGTCACTTTGTAGTCATTTTGTGTCATTTTGTGTCTTTTTGTTTTCATTTTTATGTCATTTTGTGTCTTTATGTGTCTCTTTATTGTCATTTTGTGTCTCTTTTGGGACATTTTGTTGTCATTTAGTGTCTGTTAGCTGTTTTTTTTGTACTTTTACTTAATTAAAGGATCTGAGCACTTCCTCCACCACTGTCTGTTTTCTATCAACACATTGTAGTTCAAGCGTCCGCCTGCTGATGTGTCCTTGAGCAAACACTAAATCCCAAGTGTATTAAACATATACTTGGAATATGCAGACTTTGTTGTTGTTTAGCCTCTTTTTTTGTACTTGTATAGCCATTTGTAGTTGTATGTGTTCATTCGTTGTCATTTTGTGGTCATTTATTGTCTCTTAGGGGTCCATTTTGTACTTTAATTTAGTTAAAGGATGTGATCACTTCCTCCTCCACTGTCTGTTAACCATCAACACATTGTAGTGTCCGCCTGCTGACGTGTCCTTGAGCAAACACTAAATCCCCGCCTGCCTCCCTGACCGTGACCTCTGACCTCTCTGCAGGAGGCCCAGGGCAGAAACCAGAAATGTTTTCCCCAGCGATTAATAATGTATCACTCTTTTATTATACCTCTACATCTCCCCTACCAATCTGCCTGTCACTCTGAACCAACGCCAGCAATAAGAGGAGGTCAAAGGTCAGTGTGCAGCTTAAGCATCTAAACTCACAAAGCGACTTACATACTCAATACAGTGGCCAATCCCCACAGGTGAAATTTGGGGTGAAGTGTCTTGCCCAGGGACACAACGACATGCTGACTGCAGTGGGGTTTGAACCGAACACCAACGCCCTGTCCACTGCGCCACACGCCTCCCTTTTTGTATTGTTATTTTTTACTTCGCCCTGCTCATCTACGGCTAACTGCTATAAATAAAATGCATTATCATCTTTGATTTAGTTTGTTAAGTGTGTGTAAAGGTGTGTATGTGAACGTATGTCTGTGTGTGTGTCTTGTATTTTGGCATTTGTATATTCTGTTCTTTTTTAATCATTATATGCCTTTTTGTGTAAAGCACGTGACATTGCATGTTATTATGTATGAAATGTGTCATATAAATGATAGGTAAAGGATCCTACCTGCTCATTTGCACTTTGCATATTCAGTTTGTTGTCATGGTAAGTGGTGTTTTGTGCAGTGTGTGGCCCTTTGCTGCACTTTAGTTAAACCCAAAGACAAAAATCCCCTTAGACAATAATATGAATCTAATTTAAATGGATTAAGATTCTCATTAATTCAAAGATTCATAGGCATTTTGGTTTTATGCACAATAGAGTGTAGGATTGGGAATGGAAATCTGAAGTCCCAGGCTCCTCCAACAATTCAATATACAAATATACATAATACATAAATGATAAAACTAGTGCAAGAAGAAACAGAAATATAACTTTGTTTTAGTGAATGTTGCAAGTAAATGCAGAAATAAGTAAACTATATGCGTGTAAAATAGACTAAGACAAATTAAAAATATAATGTTAAATTAAATACTGTATATATAACCCATCCACCAATCAGAGCCTCGGCTTTTTTCCCAATCTCACTGCGGAGGATCTGATTGGCCGCTTCGTGCGTCACTCCTGATTTGGGGCGTCTAGTGGGCGGGGCCTGCTGTCCGCGTGCAGGGAGGCGGTGCTGCTGTCAGTTGTGTTCCCTATTCTCGTCAAAAGTCGGCTGTTGTTGCTGTGGAGTAAAAACCAGCGCGAGCACACAAACTGTGTTCAGTCAGAGCACGCGGACAGGTGGACGACGTCGCTCTCCTTTACGCACAAGTTCGCCTCTGTCTGCACTTTGACATCGATGTGTTTATGGTGGAGAAGGAGAGGATTTGGTTTCGGGTTTAACCAACGCTGGATTGTTTTCAAACATTTCCTCAGCCTTCACCTCAAAAACACCACGTCGCTTTTTTGACATCTCCCTTTACGCACGTTTTTTTAATGCATGGACTGTCTGTGCGTTGAGGACACGCAGGACTGGTGAAGACTTGTTGCGCGCATCCGCGGAGCGCACCAGTCCAGGAGGCGACACTGTACCTGAGAAGCTTTGATTTCAGGTTGGAGTCACTGGGAATTGACAGCTTTCTGCTCTTAGACTATGAGAGTTTGATCATAATTTAAGAGAGATTAGTTTCCTCCAGACAGTGTGTCAAATCTGCTTTAGTTTCGTCCACTGCTTTAGAGAAACCATTCCTTCTTCAAATGGCATCTCCGCGCAGCCACGCCAAACTTTCCCCGGCTCAGATCCGACAGTTTGATTAATTTCTTCCTCTCCTGGTGTTTTTAAAATCCTCATCGACATGTCTGGAGACGGAAACGGAGACGGGCTCTGCAGCGACGGAGCTCCAGAGTTCATCCCGCCCAGAGTGTCCCGTGGCCGGCGGAGTGGAGTCACTCTCCCCGGTGGAGGCGACCAGGACTCCATCATCCTGGAGTCCGTGAGGGCAGCACCTCGCCGGAGCAGCATCATAAAGGTAAGGCATAGTGCTGCTTTTTACAGTTGTGTTTCGCTCCATTGAACCACCTCCCTCAAGAGAGGCATTCACTGGGAAACCTTACTGGATCAATTTGGTGCAAAATGGCCAAATAATGATGTGAAAAAACGTCTTAAAATGCAAAAAACTCTTGGTAAAATGTCAGAAATCGCTTTAAATAAGTGAGACTTGAGTAAAAAAACTGTAGAATAATCAAAAATGATCGCAGTTCAGCTTTAATGTTGCTTCTACGGCACCTCTTGCAAACAACAAAAGTTCTAGTACTTAAAATATGTCAATAGAGATGCACCTGTACTGTAAATGGAATGGTATTGATTGGACGTGTCACGTGCAGGTTCCTTGCTGTTCTGAGTTTGTATCTTTGTGGTTATTGCACTTATTGTAAGTTATTTGGATAGAAACGTCAGATGAATTGTGTCTGCATGTAATGTCCCAGTCTATCCTCACCTGCCTGCTCAAAGGCCATGCATACTTTGTTGTTGACGTGCGTAATGACAGCATATTGTGTGTCACTCATCCTCCAATCATCCCTCATTTAGAGTCCTTTTTACGCGTCATGTGTGCGTAATTTTCAAATTCCTCAATCTCCGTGTCCGTCTTTTGACTGAGCTTTAAAAGTAGCTACACCACATTCTCAGATCATAGGATAGCTGAGCAAGGTGAAACCCAACTTTGTGGTTTCTGAGCCTTTTTCCTTTTCTGTGTGACTGTGAAACTGCTGCTGCTGCATGGGGATTCATAAAACATGCAATTAAAAGCTCCTTAAGGATTAGTTTACTCTGTTCTGGGAAAACGGTGAACTTTAAATGAACTTTAAATACCATGAAGGAACAATGTTTCTGTGGGATTAGCAGAGAGAAATACCTTACACACTGTAGATTAACTTCATCAAGGGAATCTTTAAGGTCTGGAAAGCATGTGGTTTGAAGAAACACTTGCTCTTGATTATGTTCTAACTTCAGTAAAAGTATCAGAGAGACATGAATTGAAAAGTATGGTCAGCAAAAAAGAAAGGTCACAGACATTTCCCGAGGGTCATGAGAGAATGCATTTATTTACCTTTTAGGGGATATCTTCCTGTTGTGTTTGCATGAATGTGTAACTGCAGTTTGTTGAATGTTTCTGTCGCCACTTGTGGTAGGATCCCTCCGAAAACGAGGTTTCAAGGGGTTAATCCCCAAAAAATAATTACACATTTGCAAATATACTGTATCACATGTGTTAGTTCATAGCTACAGCTGTGATTGAAATGTAAACAGTGGAGTAAAAAGTACAATATTTCCCTCTAACGTGTAGTTAAGTTGTATTAAGTGGCAGAAAATAGTGCATTATGCAGAAAATGTCCCAGGTGTAAACACGCCTCACCTGCTGACCTACTTCCTGTTTGACACCTCACCTGTGCTCAGGTTGCAGCTCGCTATCCTGAATAAGCAGCAGAGTGCGGATCAAGTTAAAGACCAGGCTGCACCTCAAGTTAGGTGTCAGCCGCTCAGAAATCAGGCAGGAGGAGGAAATAGATTGAGTCCTCTGCTTTATGACCTTCTCACTTCTCATGCTCCATATTTCATGTCAGCGGTGAAGTCACTGGGGAGGAGGTGGACGTTTGTTTGTCCGCACTGTATTGGGGAGGGAGGGTCAGCCCCATCTGGAGGACACGGCTGAACAGAGAGTCCTTTCACTGCTGCAGGGGAGGAAGTGTGTGAGAGGACGGACAGATGAGAGGAGGGACGTCAGCGACAGGCACCATCAGCTGTGACACTCAAAATACTCTGATATGTCTGATTATTACTAACTGGATATCCTATTGGTTAAAGGTCACCTATTATGCAAAATCCACTTGTTCATGTCTCTTCTACATCAAAATGTGTCCCCTCTTCTTCATGTCTCTTCTACATCAAAATGTGTCCCCTCTTCTTCATGTCTCTTCTACATCAACATGTGTCCCCTCTTCTTCATGTCTCTTCTACATCAAAATGTGTCCCCTCTTCTTCATGTCTCTTCTACATCAACATGTGTCCCCTCTTCTTCATGTCTCTTCTACATCAACATGTGTCCCCTCTTCTTCATGTCTCTTCTACATCAACATGTGTCCCCTCTTCTTCATGTCTCTTCTACATCAACATGTGTCCCCTCTTCTTCATGTCTCTTCTACATCAACATGTGTCCCCTCTTCTTCATGTCTCTTCTACATCAACATGTGTCCCCTCTTCATCATGTCTCTTCTACATCAACATGTGTCCCCTCTTCTTCATGTCTCTTCCACATCAACATGTGTCCCCTCTTCTTCATGTCTCTTCTTCATCACCATGTGTCCCCTCTGTGTGAAGAGACTCTGAAAGTTTCAGGAAAAAAAGATTCTCTCTCTTTTTGTCCTGATCCATTTATATAAAAACCTGTCTGAAAATGAGCTGATCAGATTTTGGCCACTTTATGATGTCATAACGATTTTTTGTCTTGTGTAACCATTAGCCAATCACCAACCAAGGTAACCCCCCCCCCCCCCACCTTATCACCTGAATGTCCTCCTAGAGCACCATTGTGTTCTTTGTAACCAAATCTCTCTCAGAGGGGCGTGGGGAGGGGCTCCTTATTTTCATCTAAAGTAACAGACAGAGAATCAGCACTTTGGAAACAGGGCTGAAACAGAGGGGATTATGGGTAATGCTGCAATGATCTGTTTGGTGTTTCAAATCAAATCAAATCAAGGTTTATTTATAAAGCACATTTAAAAGCGATTTTTGGTCGGGCCAAAGTGCTGTACATGTAATAACTACAATCACATAAAAACACATTTCTATAATCACAATAAAAGACAATAAATTACAACAGATATTTAAAAAGAAAACACAGGGAAAAGTCAGGAGTCGTGCTCCGCTCTGACTAAAAGGCCAGGGAGAAGAAGTGTGTCTTAAGAGTAGATTTAAACGCACATGGTGTTTGGAGCCAAACACTTCAGAGACATGTTTTGTATATATCTGAGACCTGTAATACATTGATGAAAAACAGTATAATAGGGGACCTTTAAGATTTGGTTCTTGGCCTTATTTGACAGAGGACAGAGTATGAATGGAGGAGAGAAGATAGGTTGTGACATGTTACGGAGGTTTTAAGCATGTGGTTTTATTTCAGGCACTGGAACCACTCGGCTACCAAAGCACTCAAAATTCTTGTTCGTTGAAGTGAGTTTGGTTAATGACACCATCGGCCTTTATCTTGGTATGATCTCCTGAAAAAATGAAGGATCCATTTATGGCACAAAGTTTTGGAAAGAAAATGCAATGCAGTGTGTCCTGTGCCAACTCTTGGCCAGTGAGAGAAGCTAGAACTAGCTGCAACAGTTACCAGATGTTGTCATACACTCATTTGCTTTTTGGCGACATCATCACGCATTTATTTGCAAAAAACTTGGATGTTGTGTCGGCTGCAGTGAGTACGGCACTAGCTCTGTGCAGCATCGGTATACAATTACAATATAATATACATACATATATGTCTTTTTTTGCAAAAGCCTACCCAACAATAACACAATTGAGAAACTGGTAAAAAAGTTGTCTATTGCCACTTTAATTTAAAAACAGTAAGCACCAGTTCTTGCTCAGATTTTTTGTAGAAGTTAGATTAATGAAGTAATGGGCAACAGTGTTGATAATCAATTACTCGATTGAGTGATTATTTAGCGGAAACTCCAAACTTAATTTTTTTTCAGCTGTAAGAAAAGTGTGTGTTTTCTGGTTGTTGGTTTATATGATTGTAAAATGTATATCTTTTGGGTTTGGGCTCAGATAAAGTTTGAGCTGTGTGATTTTGTATTCATTGCAACTTTATCATTTTTGTGACATTCTGTAGACCCGAAAATTCCTGATTGAGTGGGAAAACTTTTTTTCTTATTATTAGTTTATTTTATCTTAAGGGACTATACTGATGCTGCAGCTATTGAACAAGCATAACAAGTGTTTTGTTCACATATTTGTGGAAAGGGCATCTAGTGTTACGCGGAGATCTGAAGGAATGGTGCATGTCAGACAGTTTAGCCACAAATGCTGGAACAACAGAATTTTACTTTTCACAACAAACACACTTGCTTATTTACCGTCTCAAAATGTCTGTGTATTGAGTGTGATCATAGGCGTGAAATTAATCAATTAAACATCAACCACATCCTTTCAAAAATGAAAACAGTTAAAAACTAAACACACACACTAGCTTACAGTCAGGTGTGGTTTCATATGGAGGGTGAGGGCGAGACACACACACAGGCACGCACACACACGTACAGGCACGCACACACACGTGCACGCACGCACGCACACACACACACACACACACACACACAGCTCTTAAATAAAAGGGAATTTCTTTTGAGGTTTGAAATGAATCAAGGTGAGTAGCTCCTGCATGGATCATGTTTCTACGACAACACACGCTCACACTTGTCTGAGACATACACACCCCTGTTTGTCCAGCTCACCCCATCAAAACACACACACACACATGTAGGCAATTAAGTCAGTCCTTGTTTTGAAACTGTTGCATGGATGCCGTAATGATGTCTTCAGCTGAAGAGCTGCATGCAGGTAATGGTTCAGATAATCACCTTCACCACTCACAGCATCATTATCATCAGAAACTCCATCAGCAGCAGCAGGGACGCTTGTTTCAGCAATTAATTGAAGCTTTATGATAAATACACTGAGGGAAACACACACACTAAATATCCCAGATGCCTTTTGCATAATTTCCTGATATCTTAGGGAGTTTCGTGCTACTCAAATTGGATATTCTGGGGTTTTGAACGAAGTTTCGCTGCACAGCATGAGTTTATAACTTTGCTCTGCATGTATGAATGAGTGAGAGTACATATTATGTTTTATATGTAATTATACATTTTTGCAATTTGTTTCAACATGTATTTCAATGGTATGGTTGAGTTGATTGTATCATTAGCACATACAGTACTTACGATTAGGTCACACACACCC